CTTTTGGGTTGGGTTTGGATTTTGGACTACACACCCTGTAGAATCCAACTCAACCCATGTTCCAACTATTGGTATGAGTTCGTATCCCAAAAATATTCATGTCCTATATAGCGATACTTATGAGAAAATTAAGATATTTCTTTATGTTTGTCTCTCATGGTCTCTCTAATCTAATGCATTCTTCTGCTTAAAGTCTAGAGATAGATTTAATATAGCTATGATTCACTTAATCCCTTTTCTTGTGTACAATTTTAATAGAATAACATATTATGCATGCGTTCGTTTATTTTTAGCCTATTTCAACAAATATCGTGAAAAAACTAGACAAATGTTGAAGTAAATCACATTTTATTAAAACTTAAACAAATTTTCACCGCTTATTCGTTTGAAATTTTAATTATTTATAAAATATTTTTTTGGTTAGAATAATTATATATTTTGTGTTGGGTTGAATTTTTACTTTAAAATATCGCAAACCCGACCCAAACCAATTAGAAATAAACCGTAGAGTTTTAATTTTTTTGGGTAGGTTTGGGTTTAATATTTTCCAAATTGTACTGCAGGGCGGACCCAGGGGAATTTGGGAGTGTCCCGGGATACCCCTAAATTTTGAAAAAACGATTTTTCAACCCCCAGTGGTAATTTACGTATGTACAAAAAAATTATAATTAATAATCTAGGACACCCTGAAATTTTAAAAAACTATTATCCTACTTTTGTTTGTAATTTGTGTATGGGAATATAAGTGGTGTTTTGGGTAATTCAAATCCGGGACACTACTATTATTAATAATATAATTTCTATTTGGCTACAACTTTTTAAATTATCTATTCTAAACACTGTGCAATGGCAAAATCATATTCTCTATCTTTGATTATTTTTAAAACCTAACAATTAATCTATTTTCAAGCTACCTTGATTTGTATTGAATTTATGGTTGTACGAAAATTGTTAAAAGTGTCTTTTCAGTTTTGAGTTACATCAAGAACAAATTTACCAAGACAACTTTGTTGAGCAGTGTAGCACCAAGTGTATTTTAAAACTTTTTCAGAATATGAAAATACATCATGGACTTTTTTTAACTTGTACGAGTTGGATATTTTCTTATTTAAGAATTATTAAATTTTTATTAAATATTATTTCTATATTTATTTATTTTTCGAAAGAGGACACCCATATATAAAATTTATGGGTTCGCCACTTTCGTATTGCATTGATCGGGCGATTAAAATGGCTAAACCCGTATTCACATAGGTGAGTCTATCAGAAGTACCCCCTAAGTAAAGTACTTCACTCCACATAGAGTATAGATCTCATTAAGAGTGGAACTCAACCTCCAAGGCTTTGGGATTCATGCTTCACTATTCATGAACTTTTCTCAATATTACTCGTGACTTGTTATTACCTATTGAACCCATTTTTTGGGATCTCCAGTCTATCGGGTCGGGTTACCATCACTTGTAATCCATGGTTCGTAGGCATAAGTCTCATACCTTTCGAGGTATTTTGGACTTTTCTTTCTAGGTAATCCTTTCGTCAAAGGATCAGCTAGATTCTGTTAGGATCTTACATGATCCACCATCATTGCCCCTATCGTTAGGAGTTCTCTTATAGTACTGTGCTTGACGAACCTTCTTTTGCAATAGTTGCGGTGCTATTACAATGAATTAACTACCGGAGGGATCGGTCTTTCCCATAAGGGAATCTCTAGTAATGACCCTCCCAATCAACTTTCCTCTTTACTAGCCATTTCTAGTTTCATCATTTCTGATTCTTTAGTTGATTGAGCTAGGATCGTTTACTTCTTAGACTTTCAAGACACAACTCTTCCAGCGATGTTAAAACATGCCCACTGGATGCCTTGGATTCCTCTATAGGGTATTCTTGTCCGCATCAATATACCCTACCAATACAGCAAGAAACCGTTGATAACATATATCAAGGTCTATTGTTCTCTTAAGGCATCTCATGACCCCTTTCAATAGCATTTCAATGCTTCATACTAGGACAATCAGTAAACCTGCCAAGTACCCCCACTATGTTAGGTCTCATGTTTATCAGCTGCCTCTTGCAGACTATCGATGCTAGTATGTTCTTACTTTCTTACACCGTCTTTGGTGCTCTTTTAAAAATTGTACTAGCATATTCAAACATTTAGCCAATAGTATAACTTGTATTTCTTATAGATCTTAACCAAACAGTTAGATTGATCCATAAAAATTTTCTTTCATTGTCCTAGTCATTTGGATCTCTAAGTGAAACACTTGGATCCTTCTCATCAAGGTTCTGACTCAACATGGTTTTTCACATTTATTCGTGTCATGAGTCTTTGCAACAAAGAAACATGTCTTTTATAGTGCAAGTGTCGTTCTCAAGTTAGTAACAAATGCACTTGCTACTTTCATTCAAAACCATGAGAAAGAACCATCCATCCATGCCATGATTTTTAAAGTCTGTTTCAAATCATACCATGATTTGTCTCACCATAGACTTTAAAAGCATGTTCAGGAATAACAACCTTTTAGGTTGTCCCATTCTAGATTTCTTTATTTAAATCACCATTCACAAAATGCAATTTTAACATTCATTTGATGCACCACTAGCAATCAGACCATACATGGATGTTATTCTAGATTTGGTGAATAGATATCAAGAAAATCTACAATTTTTTTTCCTTTTCGCCTTAAGTCCTAACTACTAGGCGATCCTTATACTCATAAACTAAACCATTAGGTTTCAGTTTTCTTTTGAGAATCCATTTATTACCTTTGCTTCATTGCCAGGAGGTAATTCTCAAAGATGCCAAACTTGTTCGATTTCATCGATATATTACCTAAGGCTTTACAACCAAAAGGTAACTCTACAAGTTTCTAAGTCTTATTAGACTCCAACATTCCATTTTGTTAATAATGAATTATCCCACAATTCAACATCTTTATGGAAGTTCAAACTTCTAGCAGACTTGTAGGATCTTTCTTTCTTAGGGTGTAAATAACTAATTCATAACCAAAATCATTTAACCATTTATGGTTCGTTTGCTTCTTCTGAGTTCAACTCAGATTCATCACCCCCACTAGTTCCATTACCTCTAATAGTAGGAGGGATTCTACCACCACTATTTCTTAAATGAAAGTCAATTGACATCTTTGCACTGATCTCAAACTATATCATTCACATGTCAAAAAACATCACATATAAATCAATGCAGTGTGATAAATAATTTCATACCACTCAAAATTGACATCTCGTTGTATTCACCCATATCACACAAAAAATTATGATTCTCTAATAAGGTATTTATGGGTCTTTTATCATGTATAAGGAAATTTCATTTCTATCATAGTCACTATGGAAATGTGACTTAGCAAATAACTTCATTCTCATGATTCGTGTAACATTATCGCTTCGAGAAGCATATGCGCACGAGGCCTCCTCATATTTACACAAAAGCTGAGAGCAATTCCTAAATTCAGAAGTAGTGCATCCAAATAAGAAATCCACCATAATTGGCACAAAAGCATAATTCATCAACAAATTAGTAATCCATTCTACTTATCTTTATGGATACTCCATATTTCTCCTCGGCTTGTGTGATCTTCTCCTCTTGGTCGCAATAATTATAGACAATCCTCCCCATGGTTCTCAATTTGATTTTGTCATTCCTTACTAGGGAACGAATTCCCTTCCAAACATGTAATTAATCAGACTCATCTCCCACCTCGTGGGACTCCAACCAGGGAATAAAAAATTCCCTTGCCAACCAACAATTGATCAGGCTCATCTCATCTCCTTCAGCTTTTCTTTCCGAGATTGGCAAGCCAGAAGACCGCAACTTCCCGAGACTCCGCTCCAAGCCGCCTGCTGCATTCCGTTCTGCAGCTCTTTAATTCCGTTCTCATGTCTACACCAGCTAGAGGCAACTTCTTCCTTCTTACCCGGTCCAATTAAATCCCCAAAACAATCCACCAAAGCAAGAGATTCTTGCTTTTGTCTCATTCTTTGCCCTTCCTCGCATTACGGACCAAAACACTTTCCATTCTTCCAAATTAATTGTTAATCAGAATTCAGAGGAGGCAGCAAGCTGCAACCCCTTTCGAGAGTGAACTCACGCGATCTCTTCCTTTCCTAACGGCGATAAGATCCGGAGCAAAGAAATAGTCCCGATCGATCCTTTTAGCGGCACGGCGACGGTAATGAGACAGACCTGATTCGGTATCCTATTCAAATAGGACAGCAATCGAGCGTTTTAAAATTGTTAGAAATTGAACAAAAAAATAGGATTACCGATCTGGCTGAGTCGCAGACTAGGTCACACTCTTTAAGACGTTCGCGGCACTACCTTCGTTGCGCACGGCAGGCTATCAGCCGGTCGCCTCCAGGATAAAACAGCCACTCTAATTTTGTTGCTCATCGGTTTTGTGCGAAAATCGGATCTCTAAGAACTCACTCTCTTTCTCGTGTTTCTGCTTTCTAAGGTGTGTTTAGAGGGTCTGGGGGATCTGCTATTTATAGGAGCAGAAAACCCAGAATATTCCCTCTTTCTTTGGGAATAAGTCACATTTTAATTAGAAAGATAAATTACTCCCATAATGAAAATATATTATATTAAGATAATTAATTCTAATTATCTCCATAATATTCTTTTTATTAATTATCCTTCTATTTTCGTATATAAAAAAATACTGGATAATTAATTCAATATAACTTTCAAAGCTATTCATTCCCAACAATCCCCCACTAGCTGGTATGTACTTCCTTAATCAAGGCAATGAGTTACGCAGAACCCCTTAATAGAAATTTGTCATAAATGCCTAACCACTACAAACTTGTTTGAGCTATTAAAACCAATCACAGATAAGGTGGGCGACATAGAACGAGCATACAAACCATACTATTGAGGGTAGCTTCCAATCCACCGCCGTTAATTGATAGAGCTTGAAAATCGGGAGATTCATTGACAAAACCTTCCTGCTCAAGTACTCCAATACTTTCCTCATTGCTCACCCACTTATTCCAGACAACTTCAACGACTTAGTAGACATGGTGTTCGACGAAAGTCCAACTCTCACGTTCGTTGTAGTTCCACAAAAGTCGGGCAATTCCGGCTTTGAAACCCGAATACGCAAACTGGTTCTGGAGAAACCGGGCCGGTTAGGGTGAGAGAAGATGAAATTTGAGGTGGGTCTATGGAGAAGAGCCGCTCCGGAGATCATTCTCGTCCGTAGAAAGAGAAGACGGAAAAGAAGAAACCAGAATAGTATGGTAAAGACAACTGGGAAGCAACAGCAAAATAAATTTGCATTTTCAACGAAAAATAATGGCAAAATTCACTCCCATAGCCACAACTTTTCACTTTGTGCCAACAATAGCCAAATTTTGAAAAATACAGAGAAGTAGCTGCGTATTTTAAACTTATTTGCACAATCTTGCCATTACCGTTAAATTATTTAACGGCTTCAACCTCTCCGTCAGTTTAGTGGGTGGTATGCTTACGTGGCCACCACATGTCTTACATCTATTTGCCACATCGACGAACTATTGCCACCTAATTAATACGTCATTATCTAAAATTAAAAAATAATTTTCCTATAAAAATCCCTAACATCCCCCTGCTACGAACCCCTTTTCACGATTTCTAATTTCCCCTCTTCCTCGCTAGGTTTCCGACTCCGCCGCTCCACCGCCGAACCTTAGGTTCTCCCCGATTTCTCTCCCCCGACGACGCCCCTCTTCCTCGACCTTTCTCCCCTGACGTCGCCCCTTTCCCCATATGTCTCTCCCCCGACGACGCCCTTTCCCTCGACCTTTCTCCCCAGAAGACGCCTCACTCCCCCGACTTCTCTCCCCAGACGTTACTTTCCCCCGTCGACACCCCTCCCTCAACCTTTCTCCCCAGCAGACACCTCACTCCCCCAACTTCTCTACCCAGACGTTTCTCTTGTAACACCCCGACTTTGGGTTCAGGTTCGACCAAAATACGGGAACAGTTGGGTTAACGGTTATGTACGAAGGGTTGCAACCGTGAATTAGTAATAATAATTTATTATATTATTATTAATAATTAATATATATATATATATATATATAACCTAAATCTAAAATGACATTTGCCTCTACCCTCCCCCTATTCCTCTTTTTGGCTCTCGCGCAAGAGAGCAGCAGGAGTAGGCCGCAAAAGCAGGAAAAAAAAAAACCCCCAGCGGATTGCCACCGCCACCCAAAACCCTCTCTCCGCGCAGCCCCAACCTGTCTCTCTCGGTGGCGATGCAATTGCGCTTTCGGTTCTGAAAGCGCTTCTGTCCCCGGTGACATCCATTTCCTTGCGGATACACATAGATTTCTTGCGGTGGTGAGGGCTTGGGATAGGGTGAGTAACCCTATGTTACTCACCCGTGAGTAACCACCTTAGGACCGTAGATCTGGGCCGGGCTGATCGTGTGGCTGTGGTTGATGCGGTGATGGTCAGGGGAAATTTTGTCCGAAATTTGAATTAACGACTTCCCCCTTTTGTCCGTTGCGGATCTTTTTCTGTGCGCGAGTTGGATTCGTATTTTGGAGAGGGAAACTGCGAGCAGCAGCTGAGAAACAGGGGACGGCGATTCTCCATAGTTGATCGACGAGCAGCAGCTAATCGAATCGAGGTTTTTGATTCTCCCTAATTGATCGACGTGTGCGCGAGTTGAATTCGGTTTTTGGAGAGAGAAAGCTGCGAGCAGCAGCTGAGAAACAGGTGACGGCGAATCTTTTCTGATTCTCCATAATTGATCGACGGCGATGGAGACTGCGAGTAGCAGCTAATCGAATCGAGCTTTCTGATTCTCCATAATTGATCGACGGCGAGGTTAGATATTAGTTTTTTGATTCTTCCTGTTTAGCTAATCGAGTTTTGTTGAGCGTTTTGACGATCTCTGGTTTCGTTGGAGGTTTTTCATTGCTGCTATTCGAGCTTGTTCATGTTTAGCTAATCGAGCGTGTTTGAGTTTCTCTGGTTTCGTTGTAGGTTTTGTCGAATTTACCTTCTCTGAGTTTCTTTTGTGTGTTCTGTTTAGCTAATCGAGCTTGTTCATGTGTTATGTGCTTTGTGTTTTGGTTTTTTTGCAGTATTCTAGTGAGATGAGTTACGTAAATTGTGGCGATGTTGTTCCATTTGATAGATCTGGTTCTTCAACCAGCGTTGTAGGATCTGATTCTTCATCTAGCGTTGTTGGAACTGCTTCTTCATCTATCGATCTTGGATTTGGTCATTCAGCTAACTCTGGTGAATCAGGAGGTAAGATATACAAATTTGTTTGTTTATTGAAGTTTGAATGTGTTAGATATCATATGGTACCATGGTGGTAATTACTGGTATACGATGAGAGGTGATAATATAGTGTTGTGTTGTGATGTTATTGTGCTCTGTATTTAAGTTTTACCATATCATACCATGGTGGTAATTACTTGTACCATGGTTGGAATCATCGGTATAGTGTCGTAATTTGATTTTACCATGCCTTACCATGTGGTATAGTGTGGTAATTTGGTTTTACCATGCTATACCATGTGGTATAGTGTGGTAATATGATGAGATGTGATTCTGTTGTGGTAAAATATGATTTTACCATGTCATACCATGTGGTAAAATATGATAATTTGATTTTATCATGCTTTACCATGTGGTATAGTGTGGTAGTTTCAAGTTAAAGGTGGGGTTATGTGTGATAATTGATTTTACCATGTCATATCATGTGGTAAAATATGGTAAATTGATGTTATCATGTATAGTTTGTGGTATAGTGTGGGTTTTTGGGATTTTTGTTGCTGCTGTAAGTGATTTTACCATGTCATACCATGTGGTATAGTGTGGTAGTTTGATTTTACCATGTCATACCATGTGGTATAGTGTGGTAGTTTGATTTTACCATGTCATACCATATGGTATAGTGTGGTAATTTGATTTTACCATGCCATACCATGTGGTATAGTGTGGTAATACGATGAGATGTGATTCTGTTGTGACATGAAATTCATTTTACCATATCTTACCATGGTGGTATTATATTTGTACATATTTAATATGTTGCTTCATAATGTTTATAGGTTTCAATGGTATAGATCCTACTGTTCGTGATTCTTGGAAGGACTTACAGTTTAATACACCGGATGATGCATACAATTTCTATGTGGATTATGGGAATCATGAAGGTTTTGGTGTGAGGATTTACCAACAATCAGCGTGTCCGAAGCTCAATGGTGGTTCTTCAGCTGTATATTATATCAAGTATTGTTGCAATAAGGAAGGTTGGAGAAGAGGTAGCGAGAATAACCCTGATAATGCAGGTGTTGTTGATACGAATGTCCGTGTTCGTAATGTTCCAGAACTCAGGGGTGGATGCAATGGTGCTTATATTCGAATCAGGTGGTTTAAAGAGTTTAAATGCTACAAGATCTATCGTTGGTATAATGTGCACAATCATGACATGATTCCTGAGTCTCTGCGTCACTATGTGAGATCCAGCAGACGAATGGCTCCTGTGTATAAGATGTTGGCAGAGGTGAATGATGCTGCTGGTATTGGTGTGACTTCTTCGTATAATGCAATTAGTAGGGCTGGTGGTGGTCGGAAGTTTGTTGGGTTCACAAAGAATGATTTGAAGAACCATCTGCGAACGGTGAGGACGTTATCAATGGAGTATGGTGATGCGACTGCATTGCTTGAATACTTTAGACGTCAAGCACAGCTGGATCCTGGGTTCTTTCATGAGGTGGAGGTTGATGTTGAAGAGAACATTGCTAGTATTTTTTGGGCAGATGGGAAGATGAGGATGGATTATCATTATTTTGGTGATTCAATTAGTTTTGATACTACTTACCGGACTAACAAAGAGTATCGGCCATTAGGTATGTTTTCTAGTTTGTTGTTTATTATTGTCTTTGTGAGTTTGTATGATTATTATTATTATTATTATTATTATCATTCTGTATCATGGTTATTTTGTTCTTAAAAGTCTGTACCATATGGTATGGGTTGGTATGGATTGCTTTTATGTTCTTAAAAGTATTTTACCATATGGTATGGTCTGGTATGGATTGTGTTTTTGTTCTTAAAAGTCTTTTACCATATAGTATGGGTTGGTAACAAGGTTATTTGAGGTGGTTTTTGCGTTGTTAGAAGTCTGTACTATATGGTATGGTCTGGTATGGATTTTTTTTTTTTGTTCTTAGAAGTCTTTACCATATGGTACGGGTTGGTATTATTGTTATTCGTACCTTTTACCACATGGTATGTGTTGGTAGAATTGTTTTTACTCACATTTTCTTATGTTTTTGTAGCTTTGTTTGTTGGTTTCAACAATCATTACCAACTGACTGTCTTTGCGGCTGCTCTTCTATATGATGAAACAACGGCAACATTTGAGTGGCTTTTCGATCAGTTTTTGAAATGCATGGGAGGTGTGAGACCGTTATCAATGTTTACTGACCAGGCTGCTGCAATTGCTGCTGGTATAAGGTCTGTTTTCCCAGATTGTTTTCATGGGTTGTGTACATGGCATATTGCTCAGAATGCAGTTGTTAATCTGGGAAGTTTGTGTGACTCTGACTTCCTTCGTGAGCTTAGTTATCTGATGTATAATGCTGATGATGAGGATGATTTTGAGTATAATTGGAAGAAGATGATTGAGAAGTGTTTTCCTGGGAAGGGACCTTTGGGACACAGTTGGTTACAGGGCATTTACAAACTCAGGAAGAAGTGGTCTTCAGCCTGGGTGAATAATTATTTTGGTGCAGGAATGAAGAGTACCCAGCTAAGTGAGTGCTGCAATAGTAATATTCGACATTACTTGCAGTCAGAGTTTAGCGTTAGTAGATTCTTTGTGCACTTTGAGAGGATGCTGGATAATAAGAGGGATGCTGAAGAACAAGAAGAGTACTATGCCTTATCTCGGTTGGCTGATTCTCGGTTTTCTACTAGCCCTATTGTGAAGCAAGTTGCTAATGTGTATACGCTGAAGATATTCAAGTTTTTCCTGGATCAGTACAAGGAATCTCGTGCGTATAATATTTTTTCAAATACAGAGATAGAACCAGAAGGACATGTAGGAATGTTTGATGTCTTCATATAGGAGGATGACCTTACTAGGTTGGATAGTAGGGTGTTGAAGGTTGATTTTGAAAACGGTGAAATCAAGTGTTCCTGCCGTAAGTGGGAGTCAAGTGGTTTGATCTGTAAGCA